CGATTGCGGTCTATATGGTACCATTTTTAGATAGCGTATGCCAAGTCCTGTGCACAGATTTTTAAATATACTGCTAACAAACTGTTTTCCATTATCTTATATTACTTTTAGTGGGTCTCCGTATTTTAAAATATACTTATTTAAAAACGAATCTGCGAATATTTTAGCTGAAGCTCGTTTAAGAGTGACTACTTCTACCCATTCTGAAAAAGGGTCTACAATTGTTAACAAATATCTATTTTTATTTATTTTTGTTCTACGGTAGGGTTCGAGCAAATCTATGCCAACCGTTTCATTTGGGAAAGTGGTCTTTGTGTTTTTTAGAAACCCGGCCAGGCTGTAATTAACATCATTTATTAATTGGCACAAATGACACGACTTAACATTCGCCGTAACTACTGTTTGCAACGGCGGAAAATAAACCGCTTCGCGTACCCTCTGTATGGTTTTTCGAATTCCGAAATGACCAGCGGACGGCAGATCATGCAATTCTTCTAAAATATTTAAACGTAGACTCGCTGGGATCACTGGCAGGTATTCCTGATTATCATTTATTACTTTTGTACAGAATAATAGTTTGTCGATTATTTCGTAATGCTCAGCCCGATTGCGAATAGCTGTTAAATATACATGTTCAAACTTTTCATGGTCTTCAAGATATGCGTAAATGTCTTTAAATTCCGGATCCTTTCTTAATTCTTCCACTATGGATTAACGGGATTCAATAACTTTTGAAGTCATCCTAGCACACTTAACTGTATTCCCCTCCTCATCGATTTTTATTCTTGAAAGGGCATCGGCAACTAAATTTTCTTTTTCCGGCACGTGTTTCATAATTAAATTAAATTATTGTAGTTTTAATGCCCACCGTATCAGGCGAGGCAATAAATTTTTCCCCGAATACAAGCGGCCGACTGTCGCATGGTCCGAGTATAGTGTTATCGGAGAACTTCCGAAGTAGACACGAAATTTCTGAACGGCTAATAAAACAGCGAGCGTTTCTCGCTCTGTTGCTGAATAGTTCCTTTGGGTAGAATTCAAAACGAAAGCTATCGGTTGCCCTTTCTGGGAAAGCACAGCTCCAATTGCATAATCGGACGCATCTGCAGCAATCTCTAGATCTTGTTCGCCTTCTGAGAATTTGAGGAGCATTAATTAGGGCATTTTTTAGTTGTTCAAAAGCGGTGTTCGCCTCGGCTGTCCAAGAAAATCTAGTTTTCTTTCTTTTCAGCACTAGGAGAGGCTCAACAATTTTGGCAAAGTCTTTAATAAGCATTTTGTAATAGCATCATAAGTCCAAAAACGAAGATAATTTCTTAGCTGTGTTCGGGGGAGGGTAACTTTCAATCGCTTATATTTTGGAATTATCGGTGCATTTCTCGAAATCTTGTACCCAAGCTGCCGCAACTCCTTGGCAGCGAACTTGCATTTTTTTGCATTTATTTTAAAACCGGCTTCGTTAAGCAAATTAACAACTTCTTCCAAGTGTTTCGCATGGTCGTCTATCGTTTCGCTGGTGACTATTATATCATGAAGATAAATGATTGTACTTTTACCCAAAACTGGCCTTAAAACTATGCCCATTGCTTTTTTAAAGCAGCCGGCGCTCCGCTTAAACCAAGCGGCATTCGTAAGAAGGCAAAGACTGTAATGAACGCAGTCTTTTCAACATCTTCGGGTTTTACGGCAATTTGAAAATAACCAGACGTTAAATCTAAGGTTGTCATAAACTTACTAGAACGAATTTTTTTAATGATTTCATCGATTATTGGTAGGGGATACGTGGGATACTTCGTTATACAGTTAAGTTTGCGATAATCGACTGCAAACCTGTACGCGTCTGGGTGGTCGGGCAGTGGCCCATTATTCTTCCTGCAAAGGACCACCGCACTTTCGTATGGACTAGTGCTTGGCATAATGATTTTATTTTCTAACATTGTTTTTATATGATGTTTCAGAATCTGTTCTTTGACTCTATCATATCGAACGGCCCATCAGCGGCCGAGCGGTAAAGTCGCTGAACACTGGTAGTTCGGCCCGAGGTTCGAATCTCGCGAACGGGCTGGCTGCATGGGCGTTTTCGTGGTTTTACCCATGCGTAAGATGTATACGAGCCAGTTTCCCTTAGAAAGTCCTCCACGAAGTCATCCCTCCTCTTAGGCAGATAGCCCTAGTGTGCTTTGCCGTAATTAAATAAACCAAACCAAACCAAACTAAAATGTCGATAAGGTTTCGACCGGACTGGAGGGGTATTCCCTGAATCAATAGCATTATTCAGAAGAAACCTGGCAGAAACCAGGTTTTTCATTGAACAAAGAATTAAATTTTCTTACTATCTTTTCAATCATTTCTTTCTCTTCAAGCTTCAGATGGTCTAAGCCTATTTCCGACATAGACCCTTCCTCTTCTTCCACGGGGTTCCATGTGCACCTGAAACGTAGAATTCTGGAAATTGATTCGCGCCAGCTGCGCGTAAGAAATCGACCCTTACTATTACGGATGTGAGTAAATTTTTTACGACTATTTAACACCTCATTTTTAATTTTTACATTAGTGCGGTTTTTCCCAAACATACGCACTGTTTTCCTTGGGCGGCAATTACTTTTTGTCCAGCAGTTTTAAATAGTCTATAACGACGAAAATGTTCTTTAAAGAAATCTTCTGAGAGAAATGAACACTGAGTCCCTGCGTTCAAAAAGGCAGTAGTTGGAACATTATTTACAAGAATATGTATCTCCGGCATGGCTAGATTTCGCACCACCACTGTTATTTAGGCGTATTTCTGAGAGGCTTTTCTTCCCACTCGATGACAGTGCCTCCTTCTTGATCACCGGTTTTTGTTTAAATTTCGGTTCTCTGCCCGCCTCTTTTCGCAGATTTTGGTTTCCGCCACACTTTGATTTATCCGCGCTTTTGTTATTGGACTTTTCACCTTTTCCCTTCTCCCGATACACATTCTGCTCAACTTGCGGTTTCTTCTGAGGAGTAAACCTTGAATGTTGGCCAAACTGGTTCGCACGCGCTTTCTCTGAGTTCCTTCTGCTTTGGAACTTCACCGCGAGCTGGACTAATGTCTGTGGGTTACGGACTTGAGCTGACGGTAGTAGACGCGGTGAAATTACCTCTATAAGTTCACTATCGGGCATCTTCCCGTATAATAAATTGAAGATTTGGATTTTTCTTAGAATGAACTCTGAAAAATTCTCGAAACTGCTTTGATATTTGCTAAATAATTCCGACCCTAGCTTCGCACGGTCATTAACGACTGGAAATGCTTTTGATAATGCAGACTTGAAATTTTCCCAGCTGTACGATTCTGAACCTGGGTCCCCCAACAAGAACTTGACAATCGCTTTATACCAGCTGAGGGCTTGAACTTTTAAGGCTGTAGTAGCGATGGTCCTTTTCTACAGCTGGTTCACAGGATGCAAAGTGAAATGCATGTTAGTTGCTGCAGGAAGGTCATCACTGAGCCTTTGCCCTCAAATGTTGCGGCTGGCTTCATAGAGGCACGCATCGCTTCCAATGTAAATCCGAATCCTTCCATTGATTTGGAGACGTCTGAGGAACCTGAAAGGTCGGAGGGGTCAACGTGAACCTCCCACTTTCTAACGACATAGCCCGTTGAAAACTTTTCGGGGGCCAAATGTAGGATTCCCCACTAAGTTACAGTTGAAAGTGAAGAATCTTAAGAACTAGTAAGCAAATAATCGCTTGAGTTTATGAGACAAAGAATAAACTTGAAAATGGTTAAAAGACCCTTAATTATTCAAATAAGATTTAACTCCATTGTCTTGGAGTTGTACAATAAAGCCGACACTTGGACTTGAACTTAAGAAACTAGGAATTAAACTAAACTAATCTTAACTAAAGAGATATAGCCGAAGCTATCAAGATTCTAACAGAGTTGACCCCTTAACGCTAATTGACGGCGAAGCTATCAACGAGCCTAAAGTACGGCCGAACGTAATAACAGCTTTGAGAGAGAGGTAGCCTAAAAAGGTGGACGCGCGCTAATTAGAATCTCTGATTCTCTCTTAACTCAGTACAGTAGAACTACGCGGTTAAATACCACTCTTCCTCATTAGCATTCAGGCGTGATTCTAAAACTTCGTTCTGGCCGGAAGTGGTAAGTTGAAGTTAAAAAGCGATAGGAAAGGAAGTTTAACTCAAAATTTAACTGTTAATAAATTTAACATAATCCTTACAAGTCTGCAGATCATAATGAGTCAATATACAAGATATTACATTGTCGTGGAGTCTTGTTGAGGTGAGATATAGATCAGTTCAATCTAGTCTCGGTGTTCGAGAGTGTCAATGTTACGCAATTCACTGGCTGTCTTGCATACAGCTGATCCGTATGCAGCTGTCTATGAACTATCCTCGGCTATACAGATCTTCTGGTTAACATTGCAAGATCGGAAACAAATTTAATACAATTACTGACCTATGCAGTTGTGGTTTCAGATATAGGAAGTTGTTATGCGTGATTTATGGCTCTTTGATATCCATTTATTGTTCTTAGTGAGCAGTTGTTTAATTCTGATACGAGTTCGATAGTTGGCAAATGATGGAATGATTGCTTTTAGTGCTCAGGATATATTCTTCTGTTGCTGGTCACGTTCAAGGGGCTCTGTTAACTTCCATCACTGTGAGGTATCATCTACAAAATTTGCAAAATTTGGCCTTTCCTTCTAAAGTTCATAATTTAGAGATGCAGGCTCAGAATAAAACGGGTTGCTTTTATCAATAACGAACCTACGCTTCATTATTAATAAATGTTGGTATGCAATTTTTTTCTGCATATTAGTTTCAGCATGCATACAAATTTTGTATTTTTTACTGAATATTCAAATTTTTCTATTTCTTGAATTTTGGATGTCAATGCAGTTCTGCTTCGGAGGTTTAAAAACTGATACTTAAGTATTCATGTAACCGCGGATAAAAATGCGTGTGGAAAAACGTTTTCGGTAAAATAAATTATTTCTTTGTGGATATAGGTTACTGACTTATGGTTGAAGTTGAAGTGGGAAGACCAGTGCTGTAGTCATGAGTCTTTAACTAATGTAAGTTATTTCATTTTACTGTTAATAAAATTATGTGTTTATTTTTCTCCATAATTATGATTTCGTTGTTCAGAGCTTCTGTCTAGAAAAAAAAAAAAATGTTAGTATATTCTAAACGCATAATTAAGTATGAAAATTAAGATTTCTTATTTGACGCAAATCTCTGTCAAACTGTAATATTTTTTTTTAAAATTTTTCCTTAAAAAGATAAACCTAAGATCAAAATGCAATAGCATGCAATATGCAATGCAGTAGAGCTATGTTAAAAAAGTGACATAAATCATGCTTGGAATTTTGGATGCAAGATGCGTTTCTTTTGTTTTGAATGAAATTTGCGTTCTAAAAAACGTCTGCTTTTGGTTTTATCTTGAACTTGCTGATACGCCCATAATAAGACTTCAAGAACACATCTCGAAATTTTTGAAGATATCGTATAAATTTTTCTAGTAGTTTCATTACATTTTGTTTTAATTTTTGTTTTTTAGAAGTAAAATTAATTCTTTATTTTTTTACGTCTAGATCCTAACTAGTCCTCAAATCTCTCGAAACCGTTAATTATGACTAAGGGAACAAAAAGATGGGAAATAACTTGATTTAATGTCAATTAAACAAAATTTAAAATCTGCATTTCATAAAAAGCAAATTAAGATTGCATTTTTTTAAATTAACCCTTCATTTATTAAAAAGATGAAAATGAAATTTTCTAAATGAAGTTCAAAATTAATACTCTTGATACGTAAGTAAACTCATACGTAATTCATATGTAAATAAATCTTAGTTAATTTTAGTTTGGAAAATGATCTGTCATTGCTTAAAACATCAGCAAGCAAATTCAATAATATTCTTAATGAAATGAGTAAGTTAGGAAAGATAGATTGCTAGATGTAATTAACTGAAGAATGTTGAAGTGATTTTGGGTTTTAACTTTATCTTTTTAAATATCTTAAAAACATGTAGCTTTAAACTAAAATGTAGCTTTAAACTAAAATCACTTAAAACTTATAGTGCAAGTTTTTAGTGGTTAAAAACATTCATCTAAGGGAGTCCGCATGCAATATCAAAAACATATTATAGGCCAATTCTAAATTTATCTTCATGTTCATACTGAACCTGACGTGACTTGCCTTCGTCGGGTTTTAATTGCAGATCTGAATTCAAATTCCCCATCTATATCTCCTCTAATTTTTTTGGCAATTTTAAGCATATTCCTGTGATAAGAATCTGATCTGTATTTTAATACAGATGTTTATTTCGCTTCAATGTATTCTAAAGCAAGTTTCATATTTTTTATCTTGAAGCAGTTTGCTGGCAGATTTATTGTGTTAAGAATATTTTGCCAAATTATTCTCATTTCCCAAATTATTTACATATTAAGAATATTTTGCCAAATTATTCTTATTTCACAAATTATTTATATATTAAGAATATTTTATCAAATTATTCTTGGGATTTGATTTCCTGACGGGTATCTGATAGCGGTTTCAACGATGAATTAGGTACTAAAATCGAATTCAACGAATTGCTCATCTCTTTGGTGAAGAACGGGAGAATAAATACATATTTGATTAAAGATATGAATGAAAAGTTCTTGAACTGGAAACAGCAGAAAGAAATAATATAGCAGTTTTGTGAAATTCGAGAAGGAAATGAAACCCAGCATAGGTAGATACAGGTAACATTAGAGGCTTTTGTAGTGTATTGGAAGAATATCAGTGGATTTAGCAGTGGTCATAATTTTGAAAGTTAAAAAACTGAAGACTCCTTGAGGGTATAGTAGTATGAGTCTTCTATTACAAATCTTGCAACTCCTATCAGTGCAAACATTGTTGTTCATAACGCTTTAACTACCATCAAGTTTAGGGATAATAATAGTACCTGGATCACAGTAAATTTAACAGAAAACCATTTTCAGATTTAGATTAAGATTAGAATGGAATGTTTTATTAATTTATTTCTAACATAAGTCAACTTCAATAGCGTTAACAATATTACCACCTGATCGGTTTTTCATTCCGACATCCTTGATGTTTCAAATAGTCTGCCATCTGCTGGTTTGATAGAGTAACACTCCCATTCTTCAAAGATTTCCGTCAGAAATTTAGTCGCATATTTAAGGGAAAATTAGCTTAAGTTTAATTAATTGTTAGGTTTTATATTATTTTAGATAATATTCACATCTAAATACTTTCTTAAATAACTTGAATTTTAAATACTCGTTATATTTAGATACCATACGTTTACTCACCATACGTCAGAAACTAAAGTAAAACCTCGCTTAATCGAAAGCCATCCTTTTATATATATATATAAACTCTGTTGTGGTCTATCAGCATATTGTCACACAGAAATGTGTTTAGCTTGTCTTAGGAAGAAAAGGAATGCATTTTACTTTTTAAGAGAAACTCACAGTTTCAGGGAATCTCACTTTTAAGCTTACGATGAACTGAATTTAATGATAATTTATGGCTACTTGTTATCGTAAAACAGGAATGGCTTACCTACATTGAGGAAAACATATAGAGCCTCTGAAGTTACTTTTGCTGTTCATGAGTTTGAAAATATAAATGAAAGAACAGGTGAAATGCAGATGGGGGGAAAATTAGAACGATAAAGGCTGTAGCATTTTATAAAATGCAAGCAATTTAGTAGCAAAGACTCATTCGGATTCCCTAGAAGAAATAAAGACGAAAGTGAAGTAGAGATGAAATAGCAAGAGTAACTATGGTGAAGCACTAAAATTTGTATATGAATTCTTAGACTGTCCAAATGAATAAACTGAGCTTGAATTAAAGCCACCAAGCCATTATAGCTTTTCACAGATATGAGGCATTTGTAATGTTTTTAGCTACTTTGTTTATGCTTAAATTAGTAGAAACCTTGTTGAACTATGCAGTGGCTTATCGCTGAGTATAAGTGTGTAAATGGGAAGTCCAGAGAAGAGTTAAACTCAGCCTTTATTATTCCAAACTAAGAACACATGTGGCCCTTTTCTCGGGCTTACAGAAAAGCCTCCTCTTATGCTTAAACTGAAGATACGAAACTACTAATCTAAACTGAACATAGCCGAAGCTGTACAAAATTATCTAACGCTGCTGGTTCTGCGAATATCAGCAGGCACATACAATACGGCCAAGCATAATTAGCTTTAATCAACCAAGTAGTCTGACGGCAAACACGTGCTACTAAGTATTCCAAAGTTTTTCTGCTGAAGTAAACGAAATCTTCCTTTAAATACTCTTTCTGCCGCATTTACATGCAAAGTGATATTAAAAACTTATTATGTAGGAAATAATAGGTGGGAAACATAATATACAGTAAAGCATGTTAAAAAATTAAAGTAACTGTTAGAAACTTAAAATAACCTCTACACTTTCATTCGACAATATGATTGTAAGGAACGGAATATAAGAGACGGTTTCACAAAAAAGTATTGAAAATATACGTAGAGCTGGTACTATGCTTTCTGCCCTCCAAGGCCTACAGATTTTTGACGCCGTCGCAAGGCCTCTGGCGTCTGTCCTAAATATATACAAATTTCATTACTAATTTCATTCTAAAGATATTTTACAATATATATTTGTACTAAATGCAGTTTATCCTATCTCAGAATTTTCTAGTGTAATAATATTATGAATATTTGTTTATTAACGCATAATTATTAAGCTCAGATAATTACTGCAGGCCTTGCAATGCGCATAATAAATGTATAATTATTACAATCTTGCTTCCGCCAGCACTGTGTGCAGCATATTGGTTACTTGAAATTTCTGGCAGATTTCATTAAATGGTGTTTTGAAACAGTGTGACATTCAAGACAAGTATGAGGTATTATTGGTGATTCAGGATACCGTGAAATTACAATCCTGTTCTTCGTTCTTAATCAATGGTTCTATTAAATATCAATAAAACTAATCTTCCTAAAGTTTTCAGTTAAATTATTTTAAAGATTTTTAGTTTAGGATCTGAAGGTTTCAAGTGATGAGAAAAGATTCGAATGAAGATTGCAATCAGCATGAAATGAGCAAAGCAGCATGAAATGAGTTGCTCATTTCTGTCATCCAAGCCCAGTTTGCCTTCATGCTTAATGGGGTAAGGGTCGTTTGAGCTGCCAGGGTTGGCTGCTGTTTCTACTAATTTCGCACTTTCGTAAACCTCCAAAATGCGCACAAATTTAATCATTTTGTCTTCATGCCATACTGTTTACGTGCAATAAATATCTTTTTAGTATTTGCTTTCCTTCACGAAAGTATTTGCTTTCATGACCAGCAGTGTACTTTTAGAATCAAGGCATTGCTCTCAGGGAGTAACCAACTTCAGCCTCATTGAAAATCGTTTATATTTCTTTAGATCTTTGCCCATGTATCTCTTTCAGGTAAAGAGTTGGAACTGCTTTGTTAGAAAAATAACAGTTATTGCTCTCCGGTGTGCTTGACAACTTAACTGAAAATATGGAATATCAGTGCAAAGCAAGTATGAATGTTAGAGGTAGTCACATCCCTTACAAAAATAAGTTTCATTTGCTTGCATACCTTTCTTGTTCTCTCTCTTTTGTAACGTACCAAGTTTGGTAAACACACACATATATATGTATATATATGTGTGATTTATATTTTTTGCCTGTCTGCGTGTGAAAGTTTGAGTTAATCAAATGACAACTTTTCCAGTTATGTTGTTATTATAATGTGCTTAAAAGTTTGACAGCAGTATATTTCAGGTTAGTCCCAAACCCACATTTCTGCTGTTGTTTTTACCAGTCTCACTTGTCTGACATCACAAGCCCACGACATTCATCATGACAAGGAGTTAAATGCGCCTGTCGTTGGCAAAAGCCTTGAACATGTTATAAGTGGCAGCCTGACTTTAGCCCAGTTCCGCCCCCAATTTTGAGACAAAGTACCTCGGAAGGGGTACGAGTCCGAGAGTCTCCCACTCTCTCTTTCTCTACCATCGACCTCTCGAGAGGACTTTCGTCTCGCCATATATTTAGAGTGCCCCATGCCGCACTGACATTGCATATTTACAAAAATCCATGCCTCCTCCGAGATTCGAACCCGGGCCCTTCGATACGGCAGCCAGAGTCACTAACCACTATCTCGATTGAGCGGCGTGACATTTCTGTTTCTAAATTGTATTTAATTCATTTTTCTTAATCTATAAAGGAAAAAATTTGTTTTTAATCTTCTTATTCATGCTCAGAAAATGTGTCAGTTAATAGTTCATTTCTTTAAATTCTTTTATTGTGACATGAAACGTAAAATTTTAACAATTAAATATATTTTACATATACCAGTAATATTTTATAGGCTATGATGTCCTGCGTACTTGATTACATGCAAGTAGTTTTAGAAAAAATTACAGCAAAACATTTCTTTGGTGAGGAGTCTGTGTTTAAAATAAATCAGAAAGTAAGTGATACTTCTTTCTTTGCAGTTTCAAAATTTTATGAAAGCTACGTAATTTTACAAAATATTGTTTTTATTATTTTATGAAAGCTACTTACGCAATTTTATAAAAGTTAACAAATTACTTTTTTTACTATTTTAAAAAGTGTGGAGGCTTAATAATTGGTAATATTTAGATTAAAATAACACGCCGAATATTGATTATTGGAGGAGTCAAACAATAAGCATTATATAATGTAAATTTTGCAGGACTAGTTTCGATGGTTTAACTACAGAACCATACATAGAAATGAACGAGATAAGATAATAATGGCGGGACAGGCATTCAGCTGCTGGCGCCATCTATTAATGAAACGAGACAACTAAAACATAATTTCCTTAAAGGCTGAAGGTAAAGATGGCTTGGAATTATAGAGTCATTAACTAGAACAGAAAGATATTTTTTGAATGTGAAACGCATCTAAAAAGTCTAATTCACCAATGGAAGATGCTTTTTGAATAATTTTTGAGTCATAAAAACGGAAAGTGTGATTTTCGGAACAACAGACTTCTGTGTTTCTTTTTTCCTAACATATGTCTCATGTTCTTTAACGCGAAATTTTTAAGGCTGTCTTAGTTTGAACAATGTAATTTAAACCACATTGGCAAGGAATCCAATAAATACCCCAGGAATTCATATCCAAAATAGGATGTACAATTCTCTTCCATTCCTGGACATTTTTGTCGCACGTAACACATCTAACTTCAGTACGACTGTTTACCGTAAACCTTCATCGGTTTGCCTTCCATCACACTTCAGATCATTTCATCCAACTAAACAGAAGTTAGCTTCATTTTATTCCTTTGTTTTCCGTGCACTTCAAGTTTGCTCCTCCAAATTGGCTCTTGATCAAGAACTAAATTATTTAAAAGCAGTTGTTATCGACAGTGGCTTTTCACCCAACATTATTAACCAAGCAGTTAAAAAATTCTCACCTCAACATATCAAAAGGCTCATTCTTGTTCTAGGAGATTATAAGAATTTTGTTGTCATTCTTTTCTTTCCATCAATTACCTATACAATTGCACAGAAATTTAACTTTCGAGTCGTTTGTTCTCCTATCAATAAAATTTCCACTTCCATACTTAAGGACCCCATTCTGAATATGAATTCTTGTGGTATTTATTGGATTCCTTGCCTGTGTGGTTTAAATTACATTGGTCAAACTAAGACAGTCTTAAAATTTCGCGTTAGGGAACATAAGGCATATGTTAGGTAAACAGAAACATAGAAGTCCTCTGTTGCCAGCACTGTTGGGCCGAAAATCACTCTTTCCATTTTTCTGCAGCCAAATTTATTCAAAAATCATCTAGTATTAGTGAATTAGATATTTAGATACGTTTCACATTAAAAAAATCTTAAAATCTTTCTGTTCTAGTTAAAGACCCTAATTCCAATGCATCTTTGCCTTTACTTTTTAATAAATTATGTTTTCGTTTTCTTGTTTCATCAATAAATGGCGCAAGTAGCTTGACTCTTGTCCAGCCATTTTTATCTTATCTCATTCATTTGTACTTTGGCAGCTGAGGAAGTGGTCCTCTAGTTAAACCATCGAAACTAGTCCTGCAAAATTTACAAATATAAAGCTCATCTTCTCGTTTGACTTCTCCAATAATTGGTAAGATTTTATAAATTATTAAGTATGTTATTTAAAAAGTTGAAAATACAAATTTTTATAAATATATAATTTAAAACGAAATGCACTCGCTATAATATTGTAATACTTCAGTGGCCGCTTGAGACCGCTGAATACATGTATCGGTCAAACCCAAGTTAACAAACTGGCTGCATGCTTGGTTACCAAAATACATTTAGGTAACAATTCAGATTTCTTACTTTTTTCAAATAAGTGCAAGTGTAGTGGAAAGAAAATATCTGAGTTGAAGTAATAAACACTAAACATAGAATGAAAAGTTCTATCAATTCATAGTAGGTCTCTTGATCGAAAACCAAAATATGTCATTCAGAGACACTACAATATGATATTGGGATATTGGTGATCCAAATTGATTGAAACAGCAATAAAACACATTATGTATCTATGAAATCTATTTATCTTCCTGCCTTTCCCCCCTTCTCTCTCTACATATGCACACACACACGGACACACATTTATATATCCGTATGCTGCATTTTACTGCAACTAGCATATGCATGCATGAAATGCGAATCTTCACGTGCATGACTGCTTACTCCAGAGCTTTCAGCACAGACTTTTTTTTTCTTTTGCAAGTTGAAAGTTATTGATACCTTTTGTATCAGATGCAGTTGTAATTATTAATCATTAATTAAAAGAGGAGATTACTTAATTCTCTGAATTTTATTAAATTCGAATTAATATTTATTCTCCTTTTTTTATATTTTTATATTTCTTTCCCAGCTTTGTGTTGCTCTTAGTAGTGTGTACGCAGTATACGAACATCTTCATGATACCAATGAAAAAATCAAAGAAGTTCTCAAATCTTTAGATTCCACCGATGAATTCCCTGTTATTAAACCCATGATTGTTGTTGAGAATGATCTGCAGATTGCTGTATCTTATATTTTCCTTTCAGTTTTGAAGCAAGTAAGTATTTGGTTTCAAAATTCACTTTACTTTAGGTACAGGATATGAAATTATTCATTTATAAAGAAAAAACGTTTTACTGTAAATAAATGCATATATTTATAATAAGACTGCGTATGCATCTGAGAAAAATTCTTCGTGGAAATTGTAAAATATATCGCTGAAGGATCAATGAAAATGCTTGTTTCTTAGCCTGAAAATAATCCTTTTAAACAGCTGTTTAAATGTAAATATATCATCTGAAAAATAACGTTTTACTAAATCAAAATGTAAAAATAAAATTAGACAAATGTACACCATATGGAGGAAAAAAGTTAACATTTTTAACAGGGAAACTGAACAGAAATTTAAAATTAACATAGCACTGCCTTATTACATAAAATAACGGGGGGAAAAGGAAGTTTTTATCAAGTGTAAAAGTTTAATGAAGACTATGTTGAATGCAGAGCATTTTTGAAACTGATATACAATATTTTTAATGTTAAGCATGTATTAATTGTGTAGTTTGATAAAAAATAAAGCAATGATTATTATATTTTGAATAAACTATGAAATGAATGAAAATAAAAATATTATGCATTCTGTGTATGCTGTATGAAATACAAGGTAACTCTCACTATATTATTAAAGGTAGTACAGTTGCATTTCCTCTTAGTTTAACTTTCCCTTTCCCTTGCCTCTAGGTAGTATTCTATTTAACATGATTAAATGTATGCATATGTTGTTGCATTTTACTACCAATAGCATACGCATATATGAAAAGGGAAGCTTCACGTGCATGAATATTTACTACACAACTTTCACAAAATGACTATCATTGTCATATTTTGTTTTATCTATTCAAGTTTAACCTAAATCTAGGTAGTATGTCTATATTAAAGAATATCTTGTTTTTCAAATAAAAGTAGGGGATTTTTCTGATTAATTATGAAGCAACATGTTGCAATCATACAGAGTTTATTTTCATTGCTTTAAATTAATGCCTATAATTCATTTAAATGATATTTTACGTATAGCGTATGTACAGTATGTCTGAGATCTAGATTCGTTGATTTGGTGATTCCAGATTTTAGATCATTAATTTAAATCTGGTAAGACTGTAGAGACACAGACATAGGACTGTGTAGACATAGACTTTTGGAAGCAGGCAAGATTAAAAAAAAAAAAAAAAAAAAAGAGTAACGCCTTCGCCGGGAATCGAACCGCGGACCCCTGGAATACGCGCCTAGCGTGCAGGCCACCACATCACTTAGGCACGCCAAGAAGGCGGAAGTAACACCTTATATACTCCCCCTTTTAAAGAGCGACTGCGGTTTTTAGGAGACCCAATCGCCAAATCCTGGGTGTGGAAAATTATCATACACCACCCTTTTCAGTTCCGGCGCCAGTATAGACATTAGGTTATTTGGAATCAAGAGACTTGAAAAATGAGTGACGCCTTCGCCGGGAATCGAACCGCGGACCTCTGGATTACGCGCCCAGCCTGCAGACCACCACAACACGAAGGCAGGGGGAAACACCTTATAAGAAGACATGTAAAAATTATAAAATAACAAATTTGAAATGGTTGTTTATGAAATAATGAAACATATTAATGACTTTAAAGGACATTATTCATTGGAAAAAACCATGTTTGTATTTATTTTGTTTTTTATATATATATATATATGTGTGTGTGTGTGTGTGCGTGCGTGTGTGTGTGTGTGTGTGTGTGTATGTGTTAATGATTTCTCATTAAATTTTATAGAGACACACATTTCTTGTTCTGTTACAAAGTTCCATTGTTCAAGCTATGTAATGGGCCTGTCCAGAGTTCCCACTAAACAGACAATTGAATTCTTTTCGCTCTCAACAATGTCTTTCTCACTTTCTTTGCTATTGGTGGCAATAATTCTTGTATTTAAAATCGTACTACAGATCTTGCCATTTGTTAGTTGATTGATAGCATTGCCATTGCGATAAAGATATTGTTCATGTATTGCATTTGTCAGAAAATTTTGCGGCTCTTTTTCCTTAAAATCTTTTGTTACGTTTTATATTTTGGCGTGTTTTATCGGTGAAAACTGTTTGGCGTTGATTAATGGCTGGGGCATTGTCATTACAAGAAACAATTTCCATTATATCATCTTCATTTAGCATTTCTTCAGATATTCCATTAACAAAAAAGATTTTTGTTTCAATTTTGATATTTGAAAACCATCACATTCGCGGCTCTCTCCAGCATAAAATTTCATAGCTGGATATTAAACAAGCCAAGCATTTTAAAAAATACCCACAGATACCATCACTCATCTCCTTTCAATGTTCCACACAAAAAACTTTATATTAAAGCGTTTTTATTATGCTTCTCTTAGCGGTCGCTTTTCTCATGCTTCTAGTTCATAGTTAAATAATTGTATGCATCTTAATTTATTTTATTTTTACATATAATTTTCTTAGTTTTAAACATAATTTTTTAAAATATTTCATAGTTTTATGCAAGTAATTTAGTGCATTATTAATTACTTTTTGTCTCATACTTTTTTGTTTCCTGTTTTAAATTTTTTATTTATAATTAAAAATGCGTGTTTATGCAAATATTACTTACTTTATTAGTTGTTCAGTAATTTACTAGTATAATCTGCGATTTGAGTTACGTTTAGATACTTTTCAGCAAAGTAAAGATAAATAAGCAAATGTCTAGTCTTAAGTGCTCTAGACGGGCGCTGGTTTCAAGGCGAAACCGGTCCCCTTTCCGTAAAGGGGGACGAAAAAAAATTTTTTAAACTCATTTATGTTGTCTATAGGACCATTGCATGTCATTATGCTTACTTTTTCATAACTTTTAAAAAATCATAACATTGCGCCCCTGAAAGGGTTAAGAAAGAGGTTAAATGTATGGATTTTGTATCAAACGAGAGTGGTAAACTTTTTAACAGGTCGACACAAATTAAAAGCAATTTGATCCAACAAAAAACAAAACTGAAGTAAAATAAATTAATGCAAAAATAAAACAATAATCATTAAATATTAAATAATAAATAATAGTTTATAATTCCTTTGTCTTTCATAAGGAGCAGCCGAAAGAATTAGCAAAAGCGTCATATTTTTTAATTATACCTGAATGAATGCAGAAGAAAATAACCAGAGAAATTCTCTTTTTTTAATTTAAAAGTAATTAAACCACAGTATGTTTACACAAATTAAAAGTTTTCTCAAAAGAAAAATTTATGTCTTCCTTTCATCTTCCCTGCTGCGCCAACAAAAGAAAACTATTATGTGTAACATTCCGTTCCAGAAATGTGGATCATCAAACTGCTTTTATTTTGTACAGGGCTAGGTAAGATATCCCCTCCCTCGACACACACAACTATTCAAGAGCCAGAAATTAAAATATTGTTCATTTATTTGGCAGGCATTTAAAAGTTATACAATATTCAGGACTAAATACTGCAGTGGATAAATGATGTTTCTCGTCAAACGAAACTTCAGCTAATTGAGGGGGGGGGAATTGATTTACACCATTCTTCTGTTTGCTGAATATTGTATTCCCCATTCTAGCACTTAATAAAAAAAATAAAAGTTCTAAAAAAATTTTTTATAGAAATTACAGATAATAATAGAAATTACTTTAATTTTAATAGAAATTACAGATAATAAATAGATTATTACGGTTATTGGACGTACAGATTTTCGACTTTGTATACTATATATATTTTAAATGAAGTTTCCATCATTTTGAAACAGGAGATCTCAAGCATCTCAAGATTAATCAAGCATCTCAAGCTCAAGATTAGCATCTCAAGATTTTCTGGGCTTATTTCCTTCCCACTGCAGTAAATAATCATACAAATAAAACGAATCAGATGAATTTTTTGTTACTGTATGCATCTAACAGTTATATCCATATGTATACCGGCTTTAAAAAACGGCAGGGACAGTTCTATAGTCTCCGTTCTGCTCGGCTGACGAAATTCAACTTGCTCTTTTCATACCTCGAAAGCGCTACTTTAGATATATATTAGATTTACATATATCGTTCTTTTAACAAAAGTATTTTTACAGTAAATAAGACTTTTTTCTGAAGTGACATGTTGATTTTTTTTTCATAGTTCGATTCTATGACTTAAATTTTTGTGAAAATTTTAATGAGTAATTCAAGAATTTATCTTGGCGCACTTGTTTGCTTTGTGCCGAGAATAATTCAGTTTACGAACGTTTCAGTTTATGGCAAACAATTTCACTTTCCCTTTCATTCTGCTCAAGCGGGGAAGGGAATGCATTGTTTTTCTTTCTTGCATATATTTTTACTTTATAATATATTTCTAAATCACATTTGTTATTTTAATTATTTTTCTTTTTAGAATTTCATTTTACTTGTTTGAGTTACACAGTTGAATTATATTTTTTTAAATAATTATTTTTAAAATATCTATATATTTGTTCGAAATATGTACTTCAAGTATATTTATTAATACAAATGCTTTGAGAATTTTATTTTATTTATTTGAATTTATTTTATTCGAAAGAAAACTTTGTTACCCAGTATATGCTACGATGCATTTGAAAAGTTCATATATTAAAAGAGAAAATACAGTAAAAAATGGTTAATAATCTTTCAATGGGCCATTTAGAAACAATATATATAAATGAGAAAATTATATAATCAACATTTTAATTTAGGAGGAGATGCATATATTGCTTTACACAATTTTTAATTACTTTACACAGTTTATCGTTGGTACCGTTTTACACATCTTTACATTTTATCATCTTACTGAAAAGTTTTAGAATAAGGTTAAATATTTCATTTTTTAAATTGCAAGTATCAAATAGTATAACATAAAAATTATTACGCAAAAATTATTTTAATCTTTTTAATAACCTGCAACATTTTTGAGGCATTCTGCAAATATATCCTGAGTCATCCACATGCTTTTATTCTTTATATATCATAATCACTTTTGAAACATCTTGGTTTTGAGTCAGAGAAAAACTTAGAATAATGAAAAGAGAACAAT